TTAGGGGCTCAGGAGTGAAAAGGTTTGGGGCTGAGAGGGGTTTAGGGGCTTAGCGGCTGAGGAGTGTGGAGGTTTAGGGTTGAGGGGTTTGGGTTGGGTACTGCCCCCACCCAGTAACAGTCTATATTAGGGGTCCTATTCAGGGCTATATATATATATATATATACCTATTATTCAACTGTTACTGAGGGGGGGCAGTACCCAAGGTTTGGGGTTTTAGTTGTTAAGTGTAGACTGTAGAGTTGAGGGTGTGAGGTTTCAGGTTTTAACGCAACTGTTGGGTGCTTGGGCCTTTAGGGAACTCGAAGCCCCCAACCCTAGACCCCAAACTCCTGCCCTAGGCCTTAAACTCTAAACCCCAAGGCCTAAGTCCTAAACCCCAAACCTCAGACCCGTCAGGATATGTTTTGAGGCCCCAGGACCCGCCCCAACCTCCGACCTGAAGCAGCCTTACCTTGCTCAGAGGCTCAGTGGATCTAATACGGCTTCTCTTCGGGTCCCTTCAGAGGAAAGGGTTTGGGGTTAAGGGTTTAGGATGTAGAATCATTGCCTTTTGGTGTATTTCTAGGGGTTTTGGGGTTATTATTTACCTGCTTCTGGGGCCCAGGTAGAGGTTAGGCCGGGATGTATAGAGTTTAGGGTTAGGGGCTTAGGGCTTCGTGGCTACTATGAGACGCCCAGTATCAGGGCATGATTTGCATGCGATGTAGGGGTTCTAGAGGAATGTGTAGAGCTTAGGTTTCATGGCTTAGGAATCGTGGGGTGTTTAGTGGTTCACAGGACGCAATTATTCTTTCCAGCTAGGATTATACCCTTACCTGGCATTGCGCTCGCAGCCCATATAGCTCCGGTTAGGGCGATTACAAGTACAGGGTCTTAGCCGGCCATGAGTAGTTACTACACTTTGTGGTTGAGGGTACGGGTTTAGATTTTTCCGGACTGTATGCGGTTCACCCTCAACACTGGACCCAGAACCCATGTCTGCATTGTAGGCAGCCCGCCGATGGCGAACATCAAGTGCCCACGACTATCGCCACAGGGCTGTTTTTTGTTTGGGGTGCAGGGGTGCAGGGAGTTTAAGGTTTCGGGTTAAGGTTTATAGTCCCCCTTTAGTAGATAGAATATGGGGGTATATGGAGATCTTGTTATAATATACCCAAAGCCATATTCTGTCTACTTAAAGGGGACTATTTAGGTTGCAAATATGTGGCAGGTTTTTGGTTCCTCAAACCCCAATTGTTGGGTATTTGCACCCTACACTTACTCATTAGGGGTTTAGTAGGGAATGAGGGAATATAATCCGAATAGAATATATTCCCTGATTCCCTACTAACCCCCAGTGAGCTCAGCTTTATCTAGGGTAAAGGGTAGGTCTCAGGGCACGGCTTTCGGGGTGTAGTCAGGGTCTCCAATGCTGGATTGAAGGTTCGGGGGTTCTGGATTTCGGCTTTAGGGCTTCACGATCTGAACTTGATGATTCAGTGTTCCGGAGGGCAGGGGTCTCAACCCTAACGTGAAGCTTTCAGCCTCGTAACGTGTTTTTTGTTTCTTTTTCGCGATCGTTCTGTCCGAGTTGTAGTGGCATGGTGCAAGGAATTGCCCAGGGGTCCAAGTGCCCAGTCGTTGGGTAGTGTGGGCTTGAGGAAGTACATGAATATTAGGCACGGGCCCATAAGGGGTTAGTATCCAAGTCTCTGGAAGTACATTTCTGGCAGCCCTACCCCTAAACTAAACTTTGAAGCCTAGAACCTAACTTCTAGAGTCCAGACCAAACACCGCACCCTAAAACCTTAACCCCAGCCTCAGCCCATTCCCTACCTCGACCCCCCAAAGTATGTATATAGAAAGTTGCCTTTCTGCATGTCCTGCGTGGTTTTGGGCCATTACTTCACCTATACTTTTTGAGATCCAGGTACCAACCATTCAAGGATACCCAGAATATGGAATTCCCTCAGAAACATGATAAGATCCCCATATACCACATACTCTATCTACTTAAGGGGACTCTAAGCATCCGGGGAAACCTGACACTCTAAACCTCAACCCCAAACCCTGCACCTTACACCCCAAGGATATCTGGACTCGGCGCAAACGAGTCTGGCGAGCCGTGTCTGTAGGGCCGACGGAGCCCTGATACTCTCCACGGTGCAGGCAGTTTAGGGATTAGGGTTATAGGTGGGTTCTTAGGGATATACAGGTCCCGTTCTATTTCTAAGGGTTCTAGAAGGGTACAAAAGTTCCTTGAAAGGGGTTCTATAAAGATTTATATACTCTAAGTGAATGAATGATACTGGGCTACTAGTACAGGGCTTAGGGTTTAGGGTTCAGTGTATATAGGCTAGGAGGCTTTAAAGAAAGAGGGCGAATCAACTGGCAAGGGAAATGGAAAATTACATGGAGACCTGGTCTCATAGGGGTTTGTTGTGCTGAAATTACGGCAGGTATTTAATTTATTGCCGATATTATGATTATAGGTTCTTTGTATACTTATGGTCAAGACAACATGATACTTGGTAGTTATCCTAGCAATTGTATTCGGCTGCTCTCGTCTAGATGGGAGCAAAGGCTAGACTCTAGAACCAACAGGCTAGGATGGTCAATTGCGGGTGTCGTGCTTTACCCAGGGCAGGCGGTCTTGTACATTCAACTTTCCGGGTTTTGGGGCGAATGGGTCTAGGGTCTAGGGTTTGGGGATGAATGGTTTGAGATCATCATTAGCAGGCGCCTCGCCTTTTTATTTGGTAGCTTCCCAAAATAGGAGGACCCCAGTGTAGACCCCAAAATATGATAGTCCTTATTATGGGGACCCCCAGATCGGTACCTCTAATCTTGGGGAAACCCCATTGATCACAGGGTGTCCCAGCCTAAGCAATAAACCCTGAACCCTAAAACCCTAGACTATTCGTGCTACGGCAGATAGGGCAAATCTGGCGCAACGTCGGGTCTTCAAGCTTCGACCATCCTAAGGCCACATCCTAATATAATAGAATCTACTGAATAGTATTATACTATACTAGAATATAGTAGAGTATAATATGATAGTTGAAGGTTAGTATAATATAGCATAATCTAGTCGAATATTACCTGGGCCCCCACAGTAGCGAAACCCCTCAAACAGCCAGAGGGCAATTATGTGGTCTCGTTAGGAATTACTTGAAAATTCTATTATTGCATAACCCCAAGGAATTATCAAAAATATTATGTCTAAAGTAGGTCTAAGGAGACTACCGCTAAAAACCGACAGAGGGCCATTATTCTGCATACTTTCGGGGTCAGGTGTTCGGCCACGTCCTGGAGCCCCTGAAAAGCTCTGAAGCAGGCCAAAGCCAGTACAACCTCAAAGACCGGAGACGGCTTGGCGTTTGGGGTTGAGGGTTTGGGCTTTAGAGTTTAGGTTTTACCTAAAGCCCTCCAGAAGTGGGTAAAATAATAGCTCAAAACCCGTAAAAGTAACCCAAAAGGCCGTTATTCTACATATTTGTTGGGATCTAGGTAGGGTTTAAAGTTGAAGGCTACACCCCGGAGCCCTACCACAGTAAAACCCTAAACCCTAAGTAAGACCGGAAACCGTGCAGCGAGAAATCCCCCACCCTAAATTCTTCGAACCTTGTCACTCTAACCTCTAAAGCCCTAAATCCTAGGGTCCTAGGGCCCTAAAATCTTAGGGTTTAGGGCTTACATCCTAAGTCCTAGGGTCCTACATCTTAAATCCTGAAGGCCACTGTTGTGAATCACATCAACAGCTTCTTGGGACTTGGCGTCGACGAGCTTCCGGGCAGCATAATGGATTCAGGGTTTAGGTTTTAAGGGTTTAGGGGGACTCTGTAAATTTCACGACATGACCTCTAAAAGCCAAATCAGGACTCGATTTCCCAGATTATGAACACTAAGGCCTCAACCCTAAAGCCTAAACTGACCCCTAAACCCTAACAAGCCAAATCATAACAGGATTTCCCAGATTATTAACAGCACAGCCTCAACCCCAAAGCCTAAACTAACCCTAAATCCTCAACTCTAAATCATCCTACACCCTCAACCCTCAAAACTAAGCCCTGTCTGATTTCAGGTTTGAGCCGCGACTTTTCCAGCCTGGAGTGCTACTATGCATGCTCTGCATCCTTCTCTGGAGCCTCTGCGTCTACAAGGACGTTGTCGAGTTTAGGTTTCGAGGTGCTTTGTAGGACTCTGTGTCCACTTTTTTAAAGGTTCATGATAAGGGTTTCAATAGCCAACGACATGTCATAGATTCCCTAAGCCCGAATATCGGGCATCCCTGAATCTACCCTCCGCCAGCCAAGCAGGCAACAAATCATACAGATCCCCTTCAAAGGACAGTCGACTGTATGACCTTCGAAGGTGCAATCATGCACCATGCATACTTAGATGCATATGGTAGTTTCTCAAAATAGGGGTACCCCAATATAGACTTGAAAATTCTATCGTCCTTATAATAGCGACCCCCCCAAAAAGGTACCCAAAGACCCCTATTTCTAGGAAATCCCCATATTGGTGCAAAAGGGAGCCTGGATTGATACCCTCATTTGCAGAGTTGTTCAAAGGTTAAAGTAGGCTTAAACCCCACAATTTCAAGGGTCTGGACAGCTGGGGTCATAAAGGATATGATATGTTCACCCTAAACCCTAAACCCTAAAGGTTGTCAGAGTGATACCTTCCTGTTCGGGAAAACCTGACATTAGGTGGGGACAAGCACCTGTCATGCGGGTCCATCCTGGGTATATGGAACTACAGTCTAAACTCCATAAAGGGGGCTATATAACTCCTTGGGACTTAGCTTGGACCTTCGACCCTTAACCCTTTGGGATTCTACTATATTCCTATTATAGGTACCTAAGGGTTAACCCTTAGTAGGGGTCCTAAGTGCCACGTAGATAAGGGACTATACTGGGGAGCCATTATAGGGGTCAGTAAGGAGGATACTAGGCGTTTAGACCATGACTCATATACGTGTATCTTTTTGAAGTGAGTTTCATGAATCGCAGGAGTTCCGGAACGTGCTGTTCTCTGTGGAAGCCATTGTGCAGCTCCCGCGTACAGTGCGTACGGAGTATCGCGAGGACGCGCTCCACAGCGCCATGGCCAGTATTTGGAGGCTCTCGTGACCTAGTTAAGTCTAAGTAACAGGGGCTATGGGCATTACAATGTAAGATAGGGATTACTGTGGGTAGTAGGTAGACCTACTACATCAAAGATGATCCAAGCGTAGTGTAGGGTTCAGGCAGCGCAGCTGCCCGACATCCGCTCCCCTGTCGAGGGACGCCGAGAAGGCAGCTACAACGATCGCACGGATGACTGAGGGCGATCCTGAAGAGGTACAGGTTCACATGAACCAGCTTCGGGACGGAAGGCTGAAGAAGGCCTTGGATTGGTCTACCAATCTGACTCCGCTTTCCAGCCAGTTTCTTGTGTCCCGGCACTACTCGTGCGGCGAGTGCAAGGGGCCGAAGCCCCGTCCATGGGAGAAGCCCATGATATGCGCGCCGGTACGCTCCGGCAGCTGGTATCTCCTGGAGGGCGACCCAGATGGGTCCAGGAAGTACTGGAGATGCGCGCTATGCGGGGGGAGGTTCACGTTTGGTGGATTCGCCCCGCAGATCCCTATTGGTGCGGGATGGCATTGCCCGGTCTCTTCAAGGGGTTCCTACCCTAGACCCTAAAACCCTCAACCCTTAACCCCTTAACCCTTAACCCTTAAACCGTAAACCCTTAAACCTAAGCCCTAAAGCCTAGACAGAATACGGGTCATTGTATGAGGCTCCCCAGTTTGCGAAGTCAAGGAGGGACTGCCGACAAACCACCCCATACCCTCGAACGCCTATTTTTTAGGGCTTAGGGTTGAGGGTTTAGGGTTTTTCAACGGATGTCCTTTTTCTCTGAAATTTGCCCGAGCCCTTGAAACTGGATAAGCCATTCTGAAAATGAGGAGGGTCGGGAAAGTAAGTCCTCAATTAGAAGTCGTTGTCAAAGTGGTTTCCCAAGTGGTTGTCCAGTTCAACAGGGGCAATTCTCAAGAATCCTTGGATGTCAGAATGTCATGCCCCGCCTGCCTGGGAGGCGGAGGGGGTCCCCCCCAGAAGAAAATTGAACTGAATATAATTACCCCCATGCCCCAAACCGCCTTTTTTCACTGTTCTGCCTAGATACGCGCCCACCTCATATTCTGGTGCCCTAAACCCTAAACCCTACGCGTCTACCTTATACTACCCTCATGCTCAGGTCTGTCCAGTGGCCGATTTCATTTGCTGCTGGCGGCATTCTTGTTCCTCGGCTCCTCTTTGCCAAAACCTTACATTGAGGGCGCCCCCTAGTTCAGTCATGAGTGAGTTATAATTGGGATAGGTATATTTTGAGAGTTCCTAACATTATGGTCAGTATTTTCTATATACAAAATCAAGTACCCCAAAAAAGGGACAGGGCTTGGGACTTCACATGTTACCACGTCCCTTGCACCTCAAGTAAAACCTACAGGCTCCAAAACCTTAGCCTAAACCCTAAACCCTAAACCGCGTAAACTACACAACGCGCTCCAAGACGTACACCCTCAGCATGCTGCATCGGATGAAGCTAAGACGAGACCAACATCGAATGTCCAAATGGGCTATAGTCTAAACTCCTAAAAGGTGGGTTATATAGGGGACTATATGGTGAGTAGTATAGGGTTTTTTAAGGGGGATACTAGGAGTTTAGAAAATGGCTCAAATCTTTTTTTGGGTTTAGAGTTCAGGATACTCAATAGGAAACATGCAGGACTTGAGGAGAAAACTAAGCAATCGGTAGATACTAACAGCCCTGCAAGAGGCATAGAGGGCCCTGTACGAGTCATATTATGGTAGCAGGGTCCTCATTTTGTGGCTTGGGGTTTCTATCATTACTTTATGGCCCAAATAATGGGAGCTCTGTGAGGAGGTTTAGAGAGTTTAGGGTTTAGGGTTTAGTTTATTGGGGTTATTTTGGGGTTATTTTGGGAGAGTGGAAAAGAAAATGGAAACTACTATTTAGGGTTTAGGGTTTAGGGGTTTGGGGTTAAGGGGTTTAGGGTTTAGGGTGATTTCTGTGAGGACCCTTAGGAGTAGCACAGGGACGTATTTGGGGTTCCAGCAAGCAGGGATCATTTTTGTGGGGCACTTTCAATAAAGAGTACTGTGCTACACTGGGCTATATGAGGGCACGCGTTTTTTTTGGACATTCCTGAAAACACGCAAGTAAGGTGAAGGAATTAATCATGTCGTACTCAAGAAGCAACAGTGCCGATCGCCAATCAGTCTGCCTGAGCTTCCAACCGTGCGCGAGTAAAGCTGCTCATTCTATAGGTGTTGATTGGTTTTGTCGCGTTCGTTCAAGGCCCTCCTGGAGCCCGCATGATGACCCATATTATGTTTTAATACTCCTCATCACCTCAAGTACTATACTCTTTTAATACATACGCCTATAATGCATATACACCCGGACCTTTGTTTACCTATCCTGGCTCCCCCAACCGCCGGTCTGCAAGACGCGATTTTCCGGTTAGGGTTTAGGCGTTTGATGGTCTAGAGTTTAGCCATTACAGCGGGGCTATCTAGGGGAAATATAGGAATGTGCAAACACTCAATCATTCAATGCGTTCAGCAATTGAATGATTCAGGAAAAGTTTTCACTTATGCCATGGAATTATTGTACTATAGTATACTAAGATCTCGAAGGGTTTCGGGTATGCAGAATAATACCTGCACAAGCCTGCCCCCCCTCACCTCCCCCCGGCCCGAACATGTTTTTTTTGAATTTTGGAATCGTGAATGAATGGTTGCCCGGTTTCTGGCAATTCCCATAAGCACTAAAATCATCATATCAGCAAAGACTTTAGCCTTAAGCTCTCAATCTTCCATATCCTTGTGAACCCGCTTAGAGGCTTAAACCCTAAACCCTTAACCCTAAACCCTCTTAGAGGTTTCCTAAGGCGATCCCCCTTTTGGGAATCCATGCCCAGGCTCCGCGTGGTCATTGCTTCAATACTGCCGCTGGCTGGAATTCAGCTGGTCTCTTAGGACTGACTGTTTTTCCTAGGCTTTAGGCTTTTGCATTTGGTTTAGGCTGTAGAGTTTAGGTTTAGGGTTGCTACTGAAGAGGAGCGAGGCTAAAAGGTGTCGCTTTTAACCATGATCCCGGAACCCTGGATCCTAAGCCCCAAGAAAGGACTGTAGAATGATGGCCTTTGAGGCCGTTTTTGGGGCTTTGGGCCATTATTTTACCTACTTTTGGGGTCCAGGTACACCCCAAGTAAACCCTAAGCCCTAAAGCCTAAACCTTAAAACCCTAAACCCTAAAACCTAAACCTTAAAACCCTAAACCCCCAACCCTAAACCCTAAACCCTAAAACCCTAAACCCCTAAACCCTTAACCTTAAGTCAGCGCAGGCTACTCGCCGGAATCAGCTGGTTGGCGCGTACAACGCCGCGACGCTGAAGCTCAGGGGGTGCTTTTTCTTTCATTTTACAGGGGTTATTTTGGGGTTATTTTGGTGTTATATTGGGGTTATTTTGGGGTTATTTTGGGAGAATGGAAAAGAAAATGGAAACTACTATTTAGGGTTTAGGTTTAGGGGTTTAGGGGTTTAGGGGTTTAGGGTTTGTAGGGGCTTTTGGGTTTAGGGTTTGTAGGGTTTAGGGTTTATAGGGTTTATAGGGTTTATAGGGTTTATAGGGTTCTGGGTTTAAGGTTTATGGTTTAGGGGCTTCTGGGTTTAGGGTTTAGGGTTTTTAGTGTGCGGGGGTCCGAAAATTAGGGATGCCCTTTTAAAGGGTCTATATTGGGGTCCCGCTGTTTTGGGAAGTAACCGAGAAATCGTCTGGCGGAACCAAACCCTTTTCGCTGGCTTCAGGGTTTAGGGCTTAGGATTTAGAGTTTAGGATTCAGGATTTAGGGTTTAGCGCTCAGGGTTTAGGATTTAGAGTTTAGGGCTTAGGGTGCGCAACTCCGGCAAGAGAAGCACGGGTCAAGAGGATGACCCAAGTCTGGTCCCTAAACCCTAACCAAATCCTACAAGTATCTACCCTACAAAGCTTAGACAACTTGTTGGCGTCTTCATGTATGACTTCTGTATAGAAGGCGGACATCTACGGGCCGTCTTTGCTGGCATATAGGGATTATCATAGGTTACCCAGGGAACAGGTAAAGAGACCATCAACAAAAAATAGCGCTGAACCCTAAGCCCTAGAACCCTAAACCAAGGTCCATCACCGAGCTGATGCTAAACGCTGTAGCCTTGAACGCAATCCTGGATGTGGATGAGTGGAGCCTTGACGAAACTTAGGGGTTGTACTTGGAGCGTAAGGGGGACTAAGTAAGTAGGTTCATAACCCCAATGACCCATATGAGCTATAGTCTAAACTTTTTCAGGGTTCTATAGGGGATTATATAGGGGAGTACTATATGGGTTATTAAGGGGGATACCAGGAGTTTAGACTATGGCTCATATGGTAACCCCAGTTATCCCCCTTATTAACCTACTTACTAAGTCCCCTTGACCCTCCAAGTAGGGTCCCCGGAGTCTCCCTAAACATGAGGCTCCCAGTTGGGGTTAACACCCTACACCCTAAGTTCAGGGTTTAGGGTTCAGGGTTGACTTGTTGGGTGGCTTCAGAGGGTCTGTATCAAGGTTATTGGTGCAAGAGGGTGTTCAAGATAGGAATTTTCAAAACCCAAAACCCCGTATAAGGGTCCCTAGGTCTTCTCGGATTGCTTAGGGATTCAGGGAGTTTTGTGTTTTGGGTTCAGGGTTAGGGCTCCCCCCCCCCCCCATAATGCGACCTCAAAGCACAGTTGAAGATGGCCCGATCTCCAACTGCAGATGTACTGTCCAAAGCTCCGAGACCCAAAGCCCAAAATTGCTTTGACGTCAAAGCCTAAATCCTTAGAGCCTAGAAAGCTGTAACCCTAAGTTAAAAACGCCCCTGAACACTGTACAGCTAAAGCTCCCCATGTAGGTTTTTGTGGAGTGCCGGCCTTTCTGGTAACTGTAACCTATACCCAAGCTGGATTAAGCTGCACTTTTTGGTGGCCGTAAATCTTAAACCCTAGGCCCAACTTGTAGCCTTGAAGGCCAACTCTTCAAGCACCACCGAGATGTTTTGATGTAGGTTTTGGGTGTTTTTTCAGGGCTTAAAGTTTGCCTAGCCTCAAACCATAGGAAAACCTCCAAAAAAAGTACATGGCATCAGCTAAAGCCCGATTAAACTTTAGTACCCTTCTAACCCTGCTTCCCGCCCCTCAACCTCAAACTGTAAACCCTCGGCCCTACACCCTAGCTTAAACCAGGCCCCCATAGGGTTTAGGGTTTAGGGTCCCTTAATCCTCAGCGCTATAACACCGGCCCGTCAAGAACCGTACTGATTCTGGCCCCTAAGCCCTCAACTCTCTAAACCCTCAACCCGACTAACCCCTAATCCCTAAACTTTAAACCCACGCGCTAAGTCAAAATGTTGGTGATGATTTTAGGTCCCAAACCCTATAACTCTAACCCCTCACCCCTAAATCCCTGAACCCCCAAACCCCAAACCCTGTACATAAGGCTCTTTGCTGGCTTTACGCCTGTTTCTGTGGAGCTTGCCGTTCGGAACCTGGAGCCCATCAAGGCGGGTAAAGGAAGGAAGGTCTGGGTCTGGGGATTTAGGCATTTAGGGTTTGGGGTTTAGGGTTTAGCGTGTAGCTGACAGGCAATTGTCCCGTCAATCCTCTTCATAAGGTAGACCGCCGATTCTGTGAAGCGCGAGACCATCCGAAGACTTCAGAAAGTTGAGCCTAAGTCAGACCCTAAACCCTAAACCCTAAACCGTGTGGAGGGGCCCAGGTCCATGTACATAGCATTTCAGGAAGCCTAGGCCTAAACCCTAAACCTTGGGTACTGACCCCCCATCAGTAACAGTTGGATAGTAACTATACTATGGTTATATATATAGCCCTTGATAGGACCCCGAATATGGACTGTTACTGGGTGGGGGCAGTACCCAACCTAGACCACAAACCCCTAAGCACGACATCTCCTTATCCTGCAACCCTAAAATTTCCTTAGCGCTTGGACCGACCGGGGCCCTGACACAGAGGCCTATGACTCCTATTCCCCATCTACTGTTTGCAGAAAACTCCAAAAGTGTGGCCGAAGCCCCAAGCGCTCATCTCTAACCCCTTCGCATACCTCCCATGGACTCCTGAGAGTGTCGCTTTGTGAAACATCCCGTTGCACCCTCAACCTCAAACTGCAAACCCTGAACCCTACACGCTAAGCCCTAACCTCTAAACCCTAAACTCAAAAGCCTCACCCGCCAACCCTGAACCCTAACTCTAAATCCAAAACCCTGAACCCTGCACCCTGAGCCCTAAGTAGAAACTCTGTACCCTACAACTCTGAACCCGTAAATTAAACACTAAACATAGGCCCCAAACCCTGACTCTGGAAACCCTAAACTCAAATCCCCAAAGCGGGGCACTCCATGCCAGTCTCGGCGTTGAGGTCTGCGCCCCAGGAGAGGCCACAGCGCTCCAGGAATTTCTTCAGGTCCTAGGCATAGGATGTAATGATGTGGGGTTTAATGTTGAGGGTTTTGGACTGAGGGTTTAGGATTCAGGATTTGAGGTTAAACGTTGAGGATTTAGGGTTCAAGGTTAAGGCTCAGGGTTTAGGATTAAGGGTTCAGGTCCTCCGCATAGGATGTGGGGTTCAGGGTTTCGAGTCTTGGGTTGAGGGTTTAGGGTTTTGGATTGAGGGTTTAGGGTTTAGGATTTGGTGTTAAATGTTTAGGATTTACGGTTCAAGGTTTAGGGTGTAGGGTCCTCGGCATAGGATGCGGGGCTCAAAGTTTGGGGTTTATGGTTTTGGTTTGGGTGTTTGGGTATAGGCTTAGATGGTTAGGATTTAGGGTAGAGAGTCCCAGTACAAGGGTGTAGGGTTTAGGGTTATAGGCATTGGAGGTGGGGTTTAGGGTCTGGATTTTGTTTTTGTTTGGGGGTGGTACCCTAAACCCTAAACCCTAAGAGTTGAGGATGCAGGGTTCAGCATTTAGGATTGGGTTTGGGTGCTTGGGATTGGGCTTAGGATTGAGGATTCTCGTGACATGTTGGGTGGTGGGGATCCCTATCTAAGGGTTTAGGGTTTAGGGTTTAGGGTTTAGACTAGTCTACCTGCCCTAGAACCTTGCCAACAACAAACTCACAGCTGTTTCTTGGAAGCTTAGAAACTCGATCCTAGACTGTTTTCAAGATACACCAGAGAATATCCTCAGGGCTCCAAATAAGCAAGCAAGGTACTACTTATAGAATTTTAGACTGGGTTGGCCCCTAAAACCCTTTGAACAATATTAGTATATAGGGTCCCTTATTAAGGCCATTAGAGAAAATATTAAATATCCCAGGGGCCTACCTAGTAGAGCATTCTGCAAAGACTTGGAGCCCCAATACGTGGGACTTCGGGTGATGTCCCGCCACCTCACGAATGACACAACCGGCTACCCGCACCCCCCCATTCAGATGTTCCCATTGTACGTTAAGTTTACCTCATAACTTGCTGTAAAGCGAACGTCGAAAAAAAGATGTAACATTACGGCGGTGGAGTCCTTGATTTTGGGGAGGACATCGATCTCTGACAACTTTTGGGGAAAACCAGCGCAAGCAGGAGCCTCAACAAACCCTAGACCCGTGACCCTAAACCATCCCGAGCTACGCATAGCCTCGGCTCAAACTGTGATATTGCAGTGAATTGCAGCTTTACGTCTTACGAGCACAGGCCCCAGAGTCCCTACAGCCTAAGCCGCGGACCCCAAACCATAGATCCTGCAAGTTTCAGGTCTTAACCTGACCCTAGACCTAAATCCCAAAGGTCTCAGGTTTCAAAAGCTGCTGGGATCCTGGCGTTGGCGGGAAAGCTAGGCGTGCCTCGGAACCTTCGCGCACGGACCAGTGAGGAATTCAGATTCTTGTTGGGAAGTAAAGCCTGCCTGGACTGTATGGACCCCCAAAACGAGGTAAGATCATGGCCAGACACAATGCAAAGGAACGAGTACACCAGACCAGTCCATGCAAGCTTAACTTCAGGACCTCGCTCTTTTTGGGCTAAGCTGCGAGGTCAGCTTGTCGGTTTGGGGCTTAGGATTTTGAGGAATCTGTCAGGGTTTAGGTTTCCAAGGAACCCAAGGTGTTGCCGATGCTGTCATGAGACAGCAGGGGCTGCCCTGCCAAGTAGCGCAACAAGTTGAAAAGTCAGAAAAGATGCCTTCCAAGCATGTTTTGGCGGTTTGCCGACACTGGGGAAACTGTTCACGAGAAGTGCTGCATAGAGAGAAAGAGGCAGATGAAGAAGAAGAAGAAGAGAGCGAGAGAGAGAGAGAGAGAGAGAGAGAGAGAGCGAGGGGGAGAGAGACAGACAGAGAGCGCGAGCGAGCGAGCGAGAGAGAGAATCGAAGTGCTAATGGTTCAGCAACTTTGCAAACGAGTCCATGAATGCACGTGTTTCTGTGCCAACTTAGTACCAGCCATGGAAACCCCAAAGTCAACACCACTACACCCAAAACAGTATCTACTAAAAATACTGTAGCGGCCTCAACAATTACAATCATGTTAATAAGGTCTACTCGAGGTACCCTATACTACGAGGAATCTAGATGCACAATATTTCCGTTTATCCCTATAAACCTCAGATTCCATTTCGTGTTCAATTTCCTTTTCCATTTCTTTGATCCACAAAATATATAGAGAGCCCAGCACTAGCCTGGTGCTTTGGTAGCCAGTCCTAAGGGTTTAGGGTTTAGGGTTCAGGAGGGTTTAGGGTTTAGAGTTACAAATGGCTCTAAACCTTAGACCCTAAACCTTTGCAGGCTATGTCTTCTACAGTACACCTGGACGTCACGGAGGCCAAGGAATGTCAGGTGCACTGTAAGAGGTTGATTTCTTGGCAGTAAACGGGTTTAGGGTTTCGGGAATGGCGTTTTTACCCAGATCCTGGAGAAGCAAGTGGACAATGAGACGGCAAATGATATGAAAACTGTCGTTCTATTCTATATACTCCCTAAACCCTAAACCCTCAATCCTAAACCCAAACCCTAAATCCTAAGCCCTGTTGGGTGTACATGAACAATTACTGTAGAGCCTAGGGCAGGCTCGGACAAGGAGCACCATGTGCTCTATGAGGTGGGCAATGCCCAGCTGGTCCTTTGGCGGTCTAGGGTTCAGGGCTTAAGGCTGAGGTTTAGGATGCAGGGTTTATTTTGGGTACTGCCCCCCCTCAGTAACAGCTGGATAATAAT